TGGATTAACTGTGTCACTGTGAAATCAGTGGATTAACTGTCACTGTGACATCACTGGATTTACTGTGTCACTGTGAAATCAGTGTATTGACTGTGCCACTGTGAAATCACGGTTTTCTGTGACTGTTTTTGGGCAGAATGCATGATGTCACAACACAGATGGTGAGTGCAGTAGAACCCCTCTTAACGACCACCACTGTTAACGACGAATCGCTTAACGACGGGCCTCCATAGAACCCAGTGTATAGTGTAGTGTATAGCGTAGTGGAAAGTAGTATATAGTGTAGTGTATAGTAGTGTATAAGAGTGTATAGCAGTGTATAGTGTAGTGTATAGTGTAGTGTACAGTAGTGTAGTGTATAATAGTGTATTGTGTAGTGTATATTAGTGTAGTGTATAGTGTGGTGTATAGTAGTGTAGTGTATAGTAGAGTAGTGTATAGTAGTGTAGTGTATAGATGTGTAGTGTATAGTAGCGTAGTTATAGTAGTGTAGTGTATTAGTAGTATAGTGTAGTGTATAGTAGTGAAGTGCCTCCGTAGAGCCCAATGTGTTCGCTTACCGACCATTCCACGGTTAACGACGGGCTGTTATAGGTACAGTACATGTTAATTAATACATTGATTAACCAGGTTTATTTTAATAGTGTGTGTTTATAACGTTGTTAGTATCTTTATGTGTTAATATCCATTGCTTAAATATGATAAAGTACGATGTTTTCGTGCGAAAATGTTTTAACTTCCGATGTTATCAGAACGAATTAAGCTTTTAACGTGTATTTCCCATACTCTCTTAACGAGCAAATCACTGAACGACCGGCCTCGTGGAACCAATTAACGTCGTTAAGAGGGGTTCCTCCGCACACTTTACGACGTTGTTTCACGAATATGATTATTGAATGTGACAGCTGATGAGCGAAAAATGCTCATATTCTTTGCATCACCTTATTAACGTACAGCATCCTCTCATCTCGCCCTCTGTAATAACAACCTGGCAAGATATCCAGGACACAGTACGAGTTAGGGTTGCCAAACCGAGACACATTTCTCAGTCTTCCCGGTTGCATGTGTCGTGACATCGCGGACGCCACAGTGGTGTGGGTGTGGTAGCGGCCCTAGAGGGGCTCGGTCAGCGCTGATTGAGACCGCTGGATGGCACCTCGCTTGGCGTGCAGTGCCAGCCCCTGCAGGACAGGGTGTGGGAGTGCCGGCCGTGGGAAAGGGGTTACTGAAGGCCAAGGCACTCTGGTGGACCCGAGAGGACACGTGACCGGTTAAGTCTGCGAAGGGGCCCCGAGTGGGGGCTAGGGGTGGTCACGTGGTCGGGGACGAGATCCTGCTCGAGGATTCTGGAAGGTGGTCGTGGCCAAGGGCGGAGCCGGCCACGCCGCAGAGAATACAAGCCGGGTCCCCCAGAGGGACCGGCGTTGTTGTTGTTCATCCTGAAAAAAAGCCTTCCTCTACGTTCTACGTGCTCCGAGTCTCCAACACGTGGACCTGGACCCGAGCTGTGGCCCGGTCCGTAGTAGCCAGATACGTTGTAATTAGCGTAGTTAGCCTGCTGGTCACCACCTGGCTAACTACACCAGTTACGTTGTAATTAGTGTAGTTAGCCTGGTGGTCACCACCTGGCTAACTACACCAGTTATGTTGTAACTAGTGTAGTTAGCCTGGTGGTCACCACCTGGTTAACTACACTAGTTACGTAGTGACTAGTGTATAGTTAGCCTGGTGGTCACCACCTGGCTAACTACACCAGTTATGTTGTAACTAGTGTAGTTAGCCTGCTGGTCACCACCTGGTTAACTACACTAGTTACGTAGTGACTAGTGTAGCTAGCCTGGTGGTCACCACCTGGTTAACTACACTAGTTACGTAGTGACTAGTGTAGTTAGCCTGGTGGTCACCACCATAAGTTGTTATTCTGTTAAGGGGAAGTTGCCCCGTGTGTTGGTGTTAAACAAATGTGTTGCCTCCAAGAGTACGTCTGCGACTCAGTTGAACTCACTACACATGGAAGATGTTGTCGTATACAGTAATGTACAAAGACAAATGTTACCCGTATAGCCTGTAACAGACTGTTGGGGCAAGTACTGTTAGCGAGCACCTATAAAGGCCGGCACGGCACACGAGGGGGTGGGCTGGCTAGCACCACGACCGACCGCCTTTGTCTCCCCAGTGGCGATGTTTACACCGCACCGCACCAGGTGCACACACACACGTGCGTGCCTGGTGATGCACACATTTGGTGGGAGTTAAGGGTTGGTGATCCATGTCACGATTACTGAAATTCCCAAACCCCTATTGGGCTGCGAGGTGACCCAGGGGGCTTTGCAGCACCGTGAGCCATCTCGCGTGGACTTTTGTCCGCCATTCATTCTCCCGCGCGGATGGAAGGAAAGCGTCCAATTAAAAAAATGCAATGTTGGCAACAACAAAAAAAAGAACCCCAGAAATGCAGGGGGAGGGGGGGGAGGACCCCTCGATCCTCCAGAGTCGAGAGGAGCCTTGGGGCACCCGGCGAGGATTCCTGAAGACACAAGATCGCGTGCCCACCTCCTCGGGTGAGGGGCTCGGTGATCCGGGAGAGCTTCGGAGTCGAGCCCGCTGCTCCTCCGGATCGAGAGGAGCCGGTTGAGGTGCCTCGGGCACCCCGGTAAGGATGCCCCCTCCATCCCGGTAGACTCCCCCTAGAACTCTACTGGGCAGCAGCAGCAGCAGCAACGTCCCGCTGGGCGAAGACCCCGGGGCTATGTTGCTCGACTCGCCTGCGAGCTCCTGGGAATTCCCCAGGAAGAGCTACAGTCTTGTATATAGTAGTGTAGTGTATAGTGTAGTAGTGTATAGTGTAGTAGTCTAGTGTAGTAGTGTATATTGTAGTAGTCTAGTGTAGTAGTGTATAGTAGTCTAGTAGTGTATAGTAGTCTATAGTGTAGTAGTGTATAGTGTATAGTAGTGTATAGTGTATTGTAGTGTATAGTAGTCTATAGTGTAGTGTATAGTGTAGTAGTGTATAGTAGTGTATAGTGTAGTCTATAGTGTAGTAGTGTATAGTGTAGTAGTGTATAGTAGTCTATAGTGTAGTAATGTATAGTAGTGTATAGTGTAGTAGTGTATAGTGTAGTGTATAGTGTAGTAGTGTATAGTGTAGTAGTGTATAGTATAGTAGTGTATAGTGTATAGTAGTGTATAGTGTATTGTAGTGTATAGTAGTCTATAGTGTAGTATATAGTGTAGTAGTGTATAGTAGTGTATTGTAGTGTATAGCAGTGTATAGTGTAGTAGTCTATAGTGTAGTAGTGTATAGTGTAGTAGTGTATAGTAGTCTATAGTGTAGTAATGTATAGTAGTGTATAGTGTAGTAGTGTATAGTGTAGTAGTGTATAGTGTAGTAGTGTATAGTGTAGTAGTGTAGTAGTGTATAGTGTAGTAGTGTATAGTGTAGTAGTGTATAGTGTAGTAGTGTATAGTGTAGTAGTGTATAAAGTGTGGTGTATAGTGTAGTAGTGTATAGTGTAGTCGTGTATAGTGTAGTCGTGTATAGTGTAGTAGTATATAGTGTAGTAGTGTATAGTGTAGTAGTGTATAGTGTAGTAGTGTATAGTGTATAGCAGTGCTGGAGTCTCTCGCCAGGGAGGTGTGGACCGCCACGACTCAACACGCTGCTGCCGACGCGACCCTCACCAGGACAAGCGGACTGCGAAACGGACGAACGACTAACACGACTATTTCTCCGCCTCCTCTGGATTAAAAAGATGCTGCGGAAAATACAACGCACGCCGAAATGGCTGTCCGTGTCATTAAGGTTATACAAATCTGGTCACGCACAACTAACGGATTACAGGCTGCAACACCACTTAATCAAACAAAAATGGTAGATGGAGTGCGTCTTATAATCCGGATAATACGGTGGGGCTAGGAGATGTTAACTACCTCGCCTGGTATGCAGGAGGTTGTGTGCTCGATCCCGACCCTGACGCCTGTATATTTGGAGTTTGCGTGGTCTCTATCATCATCATCACGGTGGATAGGAGATGTTAACTACCTCGCCTGGTATGCAGGAGGTCCTGGGCTCGATCCTGACCCCAACGCCTGCTGCTGTATATTTGGAGATCGCGTGTCTCTCTCCCCGTGGTGGCGTGGATTTTTCTCCGGGTCCCCCGGTTTTCCCCTCCACATTTCGAATGAACGTGCGTTTCGAGGACTGTATTAGGTGGCTGCTATAGATTTCCACAAAAGCCACTTCGTTGCACCATCAATTGTGACCAGGTCGCTCTGTTAAAAGAACAACTATACAGCTCAGCGGACCTCACCCGGTAAAATAAAATTATACATCAAAACGTATTATTCTGTAGGCGACCCCTGTTTAATAATAAAGGCACGTGCTTACCCCCCCACCCCCACCGACTCCTTCCATCATCCATCCCAACTCGCCATCCCTCCCCAACCCCAATCCCTCCCCTCCGCGCGCATGCGCTATAGCGCATCTCGCCCTCGTCCCAAGCGCAATGAAATGTCTCTCTGGTCTATCGTTAATCCTAAACGTGAACGGGGCTTCCGTTTTTTTTTGTGTACGACTGCTTATTTCATGGGTAGTATGATTGTCCAATGAAACGACAGTCCCCGGGAACGATGTGATCGGCGCACACACACACACAGAGACGTACAGCCACATCAATCAATGCCCGGCGTTCACCAATTAAGTAGCCTCTTCAATGGCTTCCCTGCAATCCCATTCCCCTAGCCAGGGACAAGCTTCCAATGTGGCTGGGAGATTTTTTTAAATATTATCAACAAATAACAGTATCGTCGGTCAAATCCCACGACGCTTAATTGGGAGCCCTTGTGTCCGTTGTTAAAATATTATCCAGCCACGTGAAACTGTGGGCAAACGCGCGACATGATTTGCCGAGTGTGGGGCGTGGGGGGATATATAGGAAATCGCACCGATGTTTTGTAACGTGTGTCGACAACATCCGTTGTTGTTGTTGAGATGCACGTACCTGTGTTTTGCTGGCGAGGAATGATGATTCAACGCCACCAAAGGCGAGCTCATCTCTGTCAATTCCATCCCGAGATAATTTAATTCTAACCACAATGGAAGACAGAGGCGGGTGGAGAGGGGGGGGAGGGAGAGAAAAATCCGATCTTATTCTGCTTGTACACGTCCCCGACTATAGCCTTCTTCCTCGATGCAGCTGCGATTCTTGCATCACGTCCTCGCCGTCGTTGTTCGCAGTCATAATCATTATTTCACGGTACGGATATGCACATAAATAAACACGTACGTTATTTGCTCTCTATAAATATTATTCAACTAGAGCCACCGTGAGGGGGGCGGCGTGGCGGGGGGGGGGGCCTTCTAAACCACTCGGAACGAAAATCGCCTGCGCCGCCTGTCATCACACTGCGCGCCTCGATATTGCAACCACGCCCGTTATCACCCCGCACGCACTGACGCAACGACGCACACGACGCGCGTGCGTGCACGTGCGTCGTGTGCGCACGCGCGCGCGTGCGTGGCGTGCGCACGCGCGCGCGCGCGTCATTGCGCGTGCAAAGTTGGTTCGGCGGTTGGGGTGGTGGGATGAGTGGGGTGGTGGGATGAGTGGGGTGAGTGGGATGAGTGGGGTGGTGGGATGAGTGGGGTGGGTGGGGTGAGTGGGGTGGTGGGATGAGTGGGATGAGTGGGGTTGTGGGATGAGTGGGGTGGTGGGATGAGTGGGGTGGTGGGATGAGTGGGGTGGTGGGATGAGTGGGGTGAGTGAGGTGGTGGGATGAGTGGGGTGGTGGGATGAGTGGGATGAGTGGGGTTGTGGGATGAGTGGGGTGGTGGGATGAGTGGGGTGGTGGGATGAGTGGGGTGGTGGGATGAGTGGGGTGAGTGAGGTGGTGGGATGAGTGGGGTGGTGGGATGAGTGGGATGGTGGGGTGGTGGGATGAGTGGGGTGGTGGGATGAGTGGGGTGGGTGGGGTGAGTGGGGTGGTGGGATGAGTGGGATGAGTGGGGTTGTGGGATGAGTGGGGTGGTGGGATGAGTGGGGTGGTGGGATGAGTGGGGTGAGTGAGGTGGTGGGATGAGTGGGGTGGTGGGATGAGTGGGATGGTGGGGTGGTGGGATGAGTGGGGTGGTGGGATGAGTGGGGTGAGTGAGGTGGTGGGATGAGTGGGGTGGTGGGATGAGTGGGGTGAGTGGGGTGGTGGGATGAGTGGGGTGGTGGGATGAGTGGGGTGGTGGGATGAGTGGGGTGAGTGGGGTGCAAACAGCCACGCCAGTAATCCCATGCGGTGCCTCGACCTGATGAGCAGCTGCTGGTTTTTGGTTTCTTCCTAGGGGGTGGTGCTAGCACGGCTTTAAAAAAGCCCTCTGGCGGTCAAGTGGCCGAACCGGGAGGGCGTTCGCCGCTTGCTGTAAGACGTTCACGGCTCGAATCCAGCGGCCACCCCTATTATTACCGCGAGTGTAATAAAGGCTGTTACGCGACGTTACAGATGCTCTGTGGCGAGTGCAAGCCATTGTGTGCCGCGTGCAAGCCATTGTGTGCCGCGGCTGCTATACATTTGCACGGGATGAAGAACCACTTCGTTGAGCGATCATGCGAGTCAGGTCGCTTCTGAAAATAAAAAGCTCTATAGCTCAGTGGGCCTTATTTGGTTTAAAAAAAAAAACTTCGTTTTAGAATATTCATTTATATTTATTTATAGTTAGTTATTTTTAAGATACTATTTGGTGTTTAACTTTCTGAAGCCATACCTCTACTGAACATAAGTGAAAAAGAGCTTCGCATTTAATTGGATTTCTCCAGGATACAAAAAACTCAATATCAGCCAAATTTGAATATTACCCGCACTCGATTGGGATGACACACGGCAATATTAGCAGCAGTAGCAACATCCCAATATGGAATTTCGCCGAGATCATAGATACAGGGACTCTACTTACGAACGAGTTAGATTCCAGAGGTCTGTTCGTAAGACGATTTGTTCTCAAGTCCAACTTTACTCCTGTCGATTCCAAACATGCTGTACGCCATGCACACCAAACACGGGGAATGCCTTCAATAGTTGTATAATATCCTGTAGATGCCACTAGTTCTTCACGTTCTGTAGATGTAGATGACACCACCGTCATCTATTTATTGCGCGACGGTTGAACTTGCGACTCTCGGTCCGAACACGGAACTGGACATACGGACATGTTTGTTCGTATCTCTGAATGATCGTAAGTAGAAGAGTCCCTGTACTCTTATTGTAAAACTCGGCGAATACGTCGACGGAAATAGAACGGGCTACGTTTCGGGCAAAGAGCATTCAGAACAAATAATTTCCCAATGCTCGACACACAGGGCAACTAATATTATTTACATTCGAAGGCGGTGTAACGGGCGAACGTGTCGAGTTGAAGCCAGATGAATCACGGTTCTCAGAGGTTGCCACCAACATTGCTATTACACCCGAGCCAACCCAAAACCAACCCCCCTTATGCCAAATATGGGGAACGTCATTCGCATCTCAGAAATAAAAGGTTACGTTCCGTCCGTAACTGACCTTAAGAAAATGTATTTAATAGGTGATGTTTTGGGCAATCTCTTCTTCATAGCACAAACTATGAGAAATTATTATTCGCCTGCAACATTTAATTTTTCTTACTGTAGATGTGCGTATAAAGTTACTCCAGTGTTAGAATTCCGTATCAAGTGGTATGGGTTTCATATTTCTCAGGGCTACGATTCGTTCAGTCCTTTCAGACGCTTCCATGCTCCCACTGTTGATTTTGCCTTAATTAACGTCGTAGTTTTCGGATTTGTTCACATTCTATTTACCGATGGTTGTACGAAAGTTCCGATCTTCGGTTTGCCATTTTTTTAATCTCTCCTTTAGTGCAGCAATTAGTAACTGGCCTGAGACCATCACATTCACTGCAGTTGAAAATCACTTTAATCACTACGGTATAAATGTTTGTGCACAAACGCGCGATTCTTGCACCATTGTCGGGTTCGTTGCGCGCTGCACTACGAACCTAGCGTCCCCAGTTATATTGCCGTCCACGGCCAACACCAGTGACGAGTGTGTGAATCGGTCCTGAGCCTCCACTAAGTCGACTCAAGACTCAAATGAGTCGCTAGTGCGGTGAGTAAACATTGCCACTGGGGGAGACGAAAGCGACCGGGAGTGGTCCTGGCCACCCTCGTGTTACCGTTCCGGCCTTTATTAGGAGCCACTCGCGAACAGCACTTGCCTCAGTCTGTTTAGGCTAAACGGGGAACATATTTGTATTTGTGCACACACGTACATAACCATACATTTTTTTCAGGTGATTTGCATTATCGCGTGGTCAAAAAATCGAATTACGGGTGTTTTTGCGCACGCACACTGTTTTGAGAAAAGCCATCAAAGCCACAGAGACACAAACAAGACAACCGCACAGACAGAAGGACAAGCTAGCAAACTACACAAGTTTGACGTTTATTTCTTTAAAGTTTTTTTCCTTCTTCCAAATAACAAATCGTACACACAAAACCGACGTTATTTAAGTGAAAGGAAAGGTCTGGGGGAATGGGATGAAGGTTGGTGGTTGGAATATAACAATCAACAAAGCACAATGCAGGAAAAAAAAAACGCATTTTCATGTATACAGTAGATTTCTTAGTACCTTGCTACTCAATGCTTGGAACCTGTTTTGCATAACATGTAAAGTCTTGCTTCTTTTAATATAGATGAGGTTTAATTTCAGTGGTCAGGGCAGGAGCTTAATTACATCGTAGTAATTTTAAAAGCCAATGCTTTGTTACTTATGGACAAAAATTTATGATCAGGTATAAATAGGGGTATACTTTTTTCCTTGGGTATAGACGTCACAGCAATGTTTAATTCTTAAGCAATGGTAATTCGATACATTATGACCTGTTAAGACATGCATCGCTTTCAGTTCAAAATAAGGACAGAAATTTCGGTCTTCCAAACATTAAATACTAATCCTTAAATTAAAAACACATCGATAACAGAACAAAAGATCTGCACACCAACCCTGTGGCTATTAACTGTAATCTGAAATGCCTGACGTACTAAACCATTAGACAGATCACGTGGATCTTGTTGGCACCAACGCAAAAAAAAGGAATACGACACGCAAGCGATTATAATGTACTCAAATCCTAAGCATGTCTGAGCTCAACAGCTTACACTCGTAAATCAAAGTACGCGTCTTGAAATTTTCAGGGGAACATCTTGCGTTTGGCTTCGAGAGGAGAGCCACATGTTTGCGATCTCTGAGAGTAGTAGGCCCAAAAAGCGCACAGGAGAAGTTTGAAGCACTATCAACAGAAACTGAGTATGACAGGCAAAGGGGGAAAAAATGAAATCTATAAATTATTTAATGCCGCACTACATCCTCCTACTTGTCAACGTTTAAGTAGATTTGGTACATCTCTTTAAGGAACATATCCAAATAAAATACGGAATTCTAAAAAAAGTTAAATTGGAAGGTTTACGTGGTGGCGTTATTTGTAGAAAAGTTAGTTTTGATTTTTGCAAATTTGCGTGTCAATGCAAGATAAACTTGTGCAGCAAAAAAACCAAAATGGTACTGGCAATACCGCATTTCTTAGACAAATCCCATTTTAAATATTTTGATTTGTTAAAAAAGCACAAAAAAATAAGGCTTGCAACGTACGTACCCGCATCGATGTATACAAATTCCTTCATCGGCATTTTTACTCGCATCCAAAAAACGTTCACTTGCAATCCCCCCCCCGCCCTCTGTACTTTACCCGATGGCGACTAAATTGTGGGTGGTGGTTGGGCTATTGAAAATGTAAGTTAATTAAAAAAAACACCTTTGAAGTCTTAACAGGAAGAACGTAATGAAATAGTACAACACATTTGAAGCCAGCATTCCATTGGTGCAATTCTGATATTGGTGCAATGCTAATATTGATGCTATAAAACTAGAATACCCCACCCCCAATACAAGCAGTCCTGGGGCATCCCCCCCCTCTCCACAAACCAGCACTGTCCAAGCCTTGTAAAGTATGGTCAAACGATCGCCATAACATAGCAATAATGGATTTCAAATATCTATACATTATTAAATGGATCCGTGGTTACATAATGCACTACACGCCATGCTAAAATGCATTCTCTTTCGTCAGCTGTTTAAAGGAATAATATACCCTTTAGTGTTGTGAAAATGGTGGTTTCTTTTCAAGAACACTTTCGGGCTTACATCCCCAGGACCGTCATTGGCCAATGTACAAAGATACTCCCGTGCACAAGTGGATGGGGCTTCACTCCTTCAAGTGAACTTGTAAGAACAGCAGGGCTAGAAATTATTGGGAGGCGATGTCCCTCTAATCGACTAGTTTCCCCTCGCTTTACGCAGGTTCCGGTTTGTGCGATTTCGCGCTGCATGCATGTGGCCAACCTATTTTCACCGTAAAATTCGCGGTTCAAGTGGTTGGAATTCACTCACCGGCCAGACGTGCGACAGCAACTGTTTGCGTACTGCATTGCCTGCTACTCGGGCAGGCAAACTGTCCCCTGTTGCGTTTTCATTTTGCCCTTTTTATTTTGGAACGCATCTACTGCATAAAGCGAGGGAAAACCTGTACTTAATTAAGTCAAATTAATGAGTTTGCAAAATACAAAGTTCTTAACCAGTCATCCTAAACACAAATAACGTCTCCAATTGCTAATTGTCCAGTCTCGCTACAGCTCATGTTCACCTTTCATCATAGTCCATCATACATTTAGAAGAATATTTCCCTTAATTGTCATGGCCCACAATAGGTCACCCGCTTGAAAAAGAAAAAAAACAGCTTACCTGGAGCTATAGTAATCGATGCAAACTTAAAATGTAAGGTTGCATTTTAATGGGCGCTCAATGTTGAATTAATTTTGACCTGATCATCATGGTAAAACAGTGTGGGGGGAGAGGGGGAACCCGATCTTGGCCAACTGGGAGGTCCAGTGATTTTCAACATTTGTACTGGATATACGGCATGGATGAGAAATTATTTTACTGTCATTGTCCCATACAGGAATTTAGCGTGCAAAAAAATAGCACCTGTGACTTTAAGCCTCGAGTTAAAGATCCTGGGAAACCAATGCAGAGGACGTGGCATTGTGCACCGGTCTAGCTCGTCCACGAGTGTAAAGCCCTTCCCCAAAGATATGTGGGAACGGTTTTCTTGACTGTGCATCTTAAAACCCGCACGAAACCTGAATGACTTTAACACGCAGTAGGTCATCCGCGACCAATAATATCCACGAGGGTTTTTTTTAGGTTAGATCGCGTAAATAAATGCGTCGATAAACCCACTACCACCCAACATAACCAATTAGTAAGTTTCGTGACGTAAACAAAACGTGACAATTCGTTGGAGTGTAAAGTCACAGTAAAGTACTCTAATTGTAAATGTTGTGGGTTTACTCTCCAACAGACCGGTGTGCTGTACTTGTAACGAATTGGCATGTTTTTTTTTTACTATGACAAACCTTACTAATTGGCTGTGTCGGGTGGTGGTGGGTTTAATGACGCATTCATATTTACGCGATCTAACCCAAAAAAGCTGTACCCAAATGACTGCCCGAGACTTTTAGCGGGGGCGACTGGAGTACGATTGCCATCTCACGGCAAGAGCAAATCGTATCAATTCTAAAACCCTCGTACTACCAGTACTAGCATTTACACGACCAAAGGACGTTAACTACAATAACAGGTCAAGTAAATCGTGTGGACTGTGGCCTTAAGAATAGGAAGACCAGAGTAGAGGGCCCTACGAGACAGACACACTATCCAAAAACACAGCTCACTAAAAACTTTTTTTTACGAGGAAGCATGTTAGTAAACGTTATGAAAAAGTTGCCGCTGCGGTGAACTTGCACAGTAACATTAAGGCCAGTCTCTAAAATATATTTCCCTTCTCAGTGACTTTTATTGTGAATGGTGAACTTTGCTTTTTCCACCAATGCCAAAACGGTCCCTGAAAATATTAAGTTTAACGTGACAGCGTTTGAGATCCACCCCCTTCAAACCCTGCATTATACATCGCATAGGATGGACACAAAACGAAGAGGTAAAAAATAAAGAAAATATTAAACATTTCAGAAAAAAAACTCAGTGCGTCGACTAAAACAATTAGATCCATAACATCAACGTTAATGTCACTGTGAATGAGATGCCAAAACACGTCTAACCCACAGGCTGTTGCCTGGCTCACTGTGTTTTGTAAAGCATTGCTCAATAAACATATTTAATCTTAAAGTATCACGCAAGGCAAAAATGTTAACAAACTTCTGATCCTCATTCCTATCATCAAGAGTCCTTGGCGTGGTTTTGGGACTCAGATGCTCTGTGGCAAAAGTAAAAAAAAAACTATAGAAAATTACAATGAAAACAAGTCAATTGGCCCACATTTCAAAACATTACAAAAATAATCATGAGGAACCAATAAAAAAACATAAAACTCTACAGGTGAAGCAAACAAAAGACTTGGGTTAGGGAATGACTTACCAATGCAGCGTATTTAGCATAAGAAAAATTCAATGCCTCCAAAAGCGCAACTGCTTCGCATCAACGTTAACATTTAAAGCTGCAGTTCCTTCAGTCTATAAACCATCATTTTTCACAGGATATCAAGACAATCAAAACAGTGATGGCCAGAAAATACGTGCGTATAAAAAGTGTTTTCAGGATTCTCAAAACAGAAGGCCCCAATTCAGTCACTAATAACTTCCAAAGAATAGCAGTCAACCGGTCTTCTTAACCATGAAACTCAATTTAATTTAACTTGCGTCTACTCAAGTTTAAGTGGAAACATTGGACTTCTCCAAATTAGGGTAGTCAATACTGCCAAGGTGGTATTAGGAGCCTGTATTTTACGCAACTGAATTGTAACCATGTGTTAAAGTCACCAGACCACAAGGTAACACACACACACACTGGAGGCCAGCCGTCAGTACGTGGTTCCCAAAGACAACGTTTGCAATGAGCATAGGCCAAATTCGGTCCAAGCGCACGAACTTTCTACGTGTTACCAAACTGATCGAAAGCCCGGCAGGTGATGCCACGAGAAATGTTGAAATTATTTTCTTGCTTCGGTACAAACTGTTTTCACAAACGCACCGCAAAAAAAAAATGTATGACTGTAAAAAAAAGTCAAACGCTAATCAACCCAGAAATAGGGGGAACTTGGCCCTTTTCACGCAAGGTCTTTGGGACGAAAAAAAACGTTGGCAAAGTGATTGACGAAACGAAAGCTCTTTTGAAAGCGTCAAATTTTCCATTGCAATGCCTGCTTTCACTCAACATGTAATTAAAACGGTGTCCAGCGACAGCTTTACAGTCACCGTGCAAAAAATATATATGTACGCAAGTCAGGGGAAAACTGACGTGCAACCACGAGAAATGAATCCAAGCTCACGAACTATAACATGGGGGAGCACAAACATGACTGAACCAATGTCGCTTTTTTTTGTTCCATTCGTATATTATACTCGGCCATTGCATCAGCAAAATAAACACTCGATTCTCCCATCAAATAAACCTGACAAGGTAACTTGGTCGGTATGCACCAACAGAGACAACTTTCAGGCGGCAGCGACTTACGGTGTCCGAATGAAAGGTAAATAGTAAAAAAAAATATATGAAGGTATGTTTACTCTAACCTTAATGTTGGTTTCTAATTGTATCTTTCAGGTTAAAAAAAAAATATGATGCGTTTAAGTGGGCCATTTATGATTTAAAAAAAAAAATTTGGCTGTCAAACACGTGCAGAAAACACGTTTGGAGAGATTTCTTCTGCACGCGTTCCCACGCTTGTTGGTCGTGCGCAAAGGTCAAGTTACGTTATTTTGCAGAGCACGAATGCACAACACAAATGAAAACTAGCCACCCAATTGAAAGCATCGTCATTTAAGGTAGAGATTCCACTGGCATGGTATGTACTAAATTGACTAGTAGAGGCCGCAGAGGTCACGGCACATTAAACAAGCACAGGAGAGAGCAACATTTATTGAGGAAAACAAATCGTGACAAAATACAGTAGACTCTCGATGAACTGCACTTCAGTCGAGCCGAGTTCATTTTATTCTGCAAGACACTCAAAAAAGGAAACGTCACTTCTCCTCAGCCCTTTACTTTGTGCAGCCCTTGCCCAGAATACCCATCCCTCCTCCTCCCTGTCTGCTCCAAGAAAATCTTGATTTCACTTAATCAATTAACCATAAAAATGTGTTTATCCACACAAACCGTCCCTATTAGGTGCAATTAATGGAGAGTCTAGTGCGGTTAAATTCAGAGGACAATTTTCTTCCACAACCCATATATTTTGCCTTTGTACAATGTTGTATTTTATACATAATGCGAGTCACGGTGCCAAGTGTAAAAAACGTTGCGAATTGGTAGTCATGTATTTGGGGGGGGACAAACTTGCACATCTAGTTACAGGTGGTTTCATGATAAAAAATAATTAAAACTTCCATGCATGTAACTCATAATAAAGACCAGGTTTATGGGTCCACCTTTTTGTGAATAATTGGGCTCAAATGGAACAAATAGCAAACAAACAAAAAAACCAAGTGGCAGAGCACACAGACAATCCTGGCAGGTACTGTTGGTACAGCAAATACAGTTGCCACTTTATGCAGAATGCAAGCATGGGCATCTTTAAACATTTGCATTGGCACAAGTGATTGCCAGCGAGTATTCCAAGGCAGTCACAATGAAGTCCATGTTGTATGTGTAACGAAATTAAACGATATATATAAAAAAACACCTTAAAATACGTAACCAAAGCACGATGGAACGGAGATCAGAGGTGAGCGGACAGGGACGGGACGATGACTGATTGGCTGGTGGACGTCACACGGTCACACCGACACGATTGTTAACGGCACAACCGACATCTAGAAGAAAAAAACTGCACAGGAAAAGAGAAAAAACAGGGGGTGGGGGGGGGGAATTTGTTACGTGGAAACAAAAGCAACGACAAAACAAGAAATTAAAACACTCAACGGGTGCGACCTGACAGTGAGCCGTTGCAGGAGTTGACTAGCGACAATGAAAAAAAAAACACACAAAAAACGTAATCTTTTGGACTGCTGACAACCAAGTAGAATCGTTTCACTTTATTAGAACTGCAATGTATAGCGGTTTAAAAAGGCACATTCCACTTTAGTAAGGATATACTTTAAACTTAAGTTTGGAATGTTATCTTTTATTATGAGTGCTCATCTTGTGCGGCTTTGAATTTCATCTAATAGTTTTGTGGTACTCTGTGAGCTTATATTTGGGGGAAGCCCATCTTCGAAACAAAATTCAGGGATAGCTATCTTCAAGCCTAACGACAAAGAAAGTTAACACAGCACTGGTGGCACTTGTCAAATTTTTCAACAAGCACATTTGAAAAAGTTAATTTGGGTTGAATATACGAGGCTCCATCTCAAAGTAATCACCACCGCTACACAACGTGTCCTTCAGGAAGGACACTGCCTCTCCTGTTGCAGCTAGGAACATTAACGAAGCGCACAAAAAAATTGTCAGGGTGATGTTAATAATTCGATATCCTGTAGCCGTATTAAATCCAACTGGGCAGCGCTGAGACGACATTTCTCAGTGCGCCACATATGTCCCTGCAGCAATGTTTATGGGTGCTGAAAATAAATCAAGGTTGTACAAACGATATCCTGCTTTCATGCACCGTGTCATATCGCAAGCGGCACTTTACAACGGCATCCCTGCACAACTTTCAAGTATCCCTTTTTTTAATGTGATCATGAGCATTACTGCAAATACTTTAACATACAAACAATTAGGAACAAAGTTAAAAAAGCACATTGCCATGAAGAAAAACTATTACAAAAAAACAGAGGTAAACAGGGCATCAATGAAATGCAGCCAATTATAAATTGTTAACATCCAATACCGCATAATTGAGACATTTCGTGAAATGGTGAATGATTTTTACAAGAGCATGTTTTTTACCTGATATGCACCTCATTAAACAATAATCCATTGATTTAAAAAAGCAACACAGTAAACCAAACATCCACAGGGAATAAAATATTTGTTGCAGATCTTTGAAGAACATGCTATCTAAATCAGTCATTCCTCTTTTAAACTATCAAATAATCTGGCACAATATCTAAATACAACACAACTGTTACCAACTTAAACTGTTTTATCGTGCAAACAAACATTTCCCACTGTTTAAAGACAAAACTAATACAATACGGGTAAAAATATGTACTTTATGTACACATGTGCATGCCAAGTGTCATTCATGTAATCGCTGGAACGGGAAGCATATATTTAAACAACCAGACAATTCATCACCTTTCATGATTGATCAGTCTGTCCAAACCAACACAATTTAATTCTAACAATGTGCAGCATTTCACAACAGACACGGTTGCAATGCTTAACGTGTGAATTAAAATAATTAAATCACAGCTTTAAACGTGCAAACCTGCTTCATTGTGTTGGTAAATCCAGACCTCAAATGGATTTACCATTTTGTATGTACAAAGCAGCCTTCCACCACCAATTTCCACTCCTCCGTGTCATCACTTATACTTCAACTAAGGCTACGCTTATTTTACAGACACTTTCAAGAACAATGCGATTCCCCATAAACAAAGCTACAGAAGTGTGTAATGAATGCTGTTGTACTGCACTATCAGCTTGCCATGTAGGCTTCTGATACCACCTCTTCTGCACATTTTTGCTATCCAGGAATTACCCTCCCAGCTGAGACTGGTTGGCATTTGAGAGTTCAGGATTTTAACGTTTCCCATTCCGATTGACGTACATGTACGACATTCGTTTTTCTTCCGATCCCATTCCAATGACGTACGTGTCTGTTCCGATGACAAATGGAATCGGGAAAAAAATACTTTATCGGACCTGAAGATGTACCGAAGCTCCCACAAGGCCATGCAGGAGGTCGTGTCGCTACAGTTATCTGCGGTGAGTATAATGTCTTTAAAAACAACGGCGCTACACCTCTCTAAATAAAATTAACGCTGACCGCTTGCACATCCCGAGATTCATCAGTGAACGGAACACCCACCCTGCAACTTGCAGACGTCTCAGAAAGGGAAAGGGTTCATCGATTCAGATTTGGAGTAGGTAGCGGGCACACTAACACTGCATCACCAAACACCCTACTCGTCCAACATGCCAACTCAAAATCATCCACCATATATTCCCTAAGGGCAGGGCTTAATGCAAACATTGGCACATCCAACACTGTCCCAGTGTGACAACACAGCAGTGTCATTATGGCTGGCCTGGTAAGCCATGCCTACATTTAAATATTTACATAAGAATCTGATTTGAATGCTTGCCCTACGTCTATGCTTTCTATTTATGTTGAACGTCTTTCACACCATATGTAGCCAACCGTGCTGATCAGTGGTGCTGTGAGTGATATTATCATAATCTATCAATTCCCCAGATAAGAAAAATAGGCACAATTTAACATTGAAAGTCATTAACGACGTTCAATTTACAAGCGTTTCCTTAAACAAATGTTTATACTTTTAAGAATGCATCCATTTTCAAATGCCCCGCGTTCACAAATTGATCGCTGCGTTTTAATGATACTCGCTGGAATCATGCAATGGTGCTGCTGTGGCATAAAAAAATCCGAAGGGTACAGTACCAATTTGTTTGTGGCGACACCAACTATAAAGCCTTCCCCAGATGAACCTTGTTATCGCTCGGGGTGCTCCAAATTCTGAGTTCATAAATGGCTCCAGCTGAAACCACGTTCGTTTTTAAACACTTTGACTGCTCACACACATGTCCTTCATTGCAATTTCGAGTTTTCATTATATTTGTTATCTTCTAACACACAACTTAAGCTCGTCTCGCTGCACCTGTCCTGTCGTCTCTCATTTGACTTTCTCTCGGACCAACCTCATGCCACACTAAGAGCATCATATTGTCTGACGACTGCATCTCTCATTCTATTGCACGTAAAAACTTTACTACCTGCCTTCAGTTGTGGCCAGGTACCCTAGCAGGTATTTAATATTTTTTTTCACTTGTGCTGCTTCCGAGTTAACATTATCTGCGCATTGCCGTATGTGTTACAATTGCAAATTCATTTTAATTTGCGATGTATCAAGCTGAAGTACGACTTTTCGTACAAGTCTGCCATCTACTGTTCAATATGTGCGTATAATTTTGATCATTTCATCAACCACAATGTGAGCGCAGTTTTAAGTGAATTATAAAACAGCATTATTACTTAAATAAAATCGTGGTGCATCCTTTCAGAGGCCGGTATTAATTCTCTGCGATAGCGAAACTGCTGTACGCAAAGTTTTGCAATTGACAATTCTTCATTTCAGCGTACGAAGAGGAGAACTGGAATGTAACGGTTGAAAGAACAAACTATAAAGTGATAAAAGCGTGTTTTAAAACCTATCACCAAAGACTGATATGCATCCAAGACAAACCAAGTAATCCCTATGGAAGTGTCATGTCAGAAAGTTATACAAGCGGGTCTCATGGGTTACCCACATTTGGCCTGCTTTGCTATTTTAAGATGATTCTACAAATGAGGGGTTTCAAACATAATTCGGTCACAAATAACCCACAGTGCTCAATGCATCCAACCATATCAGATCTGGAATGCGTAGCAGGGTTTGAGCCTGGCTTGGGGTGGGGACTGCCCAGGAAAATGGTGGGGGGGGGGGGGGGGGGGAGATCGTAGGCTTGGGCAGAAACGTGGCCAGCATATTGCAAACACAATATTTTAATTCTTGTATCTTGTCTATATGAAGACTCAGTGTTATGTGGGTTTTGCCAGTTACCCTTGGTTTCGTCCTGCATTCCAAACTGATGAATGGTATTGGCAAAACATCCCAATACAGTAGAATCCCGCTTAACGATGGTAATTGGTTCCACGAAACCGGTCATCAAGTGATTTGGTTGTTAAGCGAGTATAGGAAATGCATGTTAAGGCTTAATTCGTTCCGATATCATCAAAAGTTATCCCTTTTCACCCAAAAAAACGTACTTAAACAATGGTATTCTTATTCTTGGTTCTTTCGGTAAAGTTACGTAGAAGCGAAATAATATAATAAAAATAAAACATAATAAAATAAAATTCTCACGACGTTTCGGCCACAACGCAAGCAGCCGTTCTTCACCCGAGGACGGCTGCTTGCGTTGTGGCCGAAACGCCGTGAGAATTCTATTTTATTATGTTTTATTTGTATTATTTGTATTATTTCCCTACCACGTGACTTTACCGAAAGAACCAAGAATATGAATCCCTGCAGTCATGAAAGCTTTAAATCGAAATCTATTGGTATTCTTAGTTCTTTCGGTAAAGTGACGCACATACAAAACAGAAATCTAAATTAAAAGCAAAAATCCCACGACGTTTCGATCGCAACACAAGCGGTTCTCCTTCAGGTGGAGAACGCAACACAAGCGGTTCTTCTTCAGGTGGAGATCGCAACACAAGCGGTCTCCACCTGAAGAAGAACCGCTTGTGTTGCGATCGAAACGTCGTGGGATTTTTGCTTTTAATTTATATTTATGTTTTATACGTGCGTCACTTTACCGAAAGAACCAAGACTATTAATTCCTGCAGTCACGAAAGTTTTAAGTCTAAATTTAAACAATGGATTTTAATACGTAAAGATACAAACATTACAAACGTGATATTAAAGAAACGTGGTTAATCATTAATATTTACTGTACCTATAACAGCCCGTTGTTAACAGGAGAATGGTCGGTAAGCGAACACGTTGGGCTCTATGGAGGCCCGTCATTAATCAATTAGTCGTTAACAGGGGTTCTTGAGAGACTGCAAGGCTTTCCTGGATAAAAGGAATTATTGTTCCGGTTTTACGATTACACTTCCGTGACAGAATATGCAGTGTGCATCTAGTACACTGCAATTGCAATCATGGCCCACGGAGATAGTATGTAAACATCTATTTTTCCTTCTCATCGTTTAAAATTTTCCAATTTTATGTTGAGTGTCCATGTGATGATTGCACTTTGAGTGGCAGATGTGCCAAGGCGCCACGTGTAAACAAAAAATCAAATTCAGAGGTGTTTGGGTTAGATCGCGTAAATATGTGTCGTTAAAACCCGCCAATTAGTAAGGGTTGTCACGTAAACACAACATGCCAATTCGTCCCTAGTACAGCACACCGGTGTGTTGGAGAGCCAAGCTACAACATTTACAATCTGAGTACGACGATTCACCAGTAATAACTAGCTTCATGAGGCAAGTGGTGGCGGGTTTTAACGACAGATTTATATATTTACGCGATCTAACCCAAAAACCTATTATGGATGATATTGGTCGCGAAAGCCTACGTGTTAAACCAAAAATGAAATTGACTGATGCTTTGGCTTTCAGTTATTATGGGCAGTTATTATACATAAAATAAAAATCCATTTTGTAGCTAGTGCAAAAAGGCTAATTTCTTCATGAAGATTTTTGAGTGATAGGTTGCCATTCATATGAACATTTAAAACGCAGTGCTGCAATCGATTTTGAAAGTCAACAATTTGAAAAGAAGATATATTTTACAAAACATTTTCAAATTACTTGTTTTGAATTGTGCATATTTTTCAATCAGGGGATACTATCAAAAGGCATGTCCCATCGAGGTCATTCCACACCAAATCAAGCAAGAATTGATTTCGTAAACCCCGAATTCCATGAAATTTGACTCGCACCTTTGTTGTGTCGCAAGAGAGGCTACGATCAAAATGTTTGGCCAATCTGATCTCCTATTCCACCAGATGCAGAGGTCATCGAAATTTGACCCAACCAAGACCACTGGGAGCCCTTTCACATTGCAACTTCTATGTGCCTACTCCAAATACTTTGGGGAGTTGACAATTTTCGATAAAGCATTGCCCTCCCAATGTCTCAGTTTGTTTTCCTCGGAATGAAATGTATAGAGGTCTTCAAGAGCTTCAACAATGAGGCAAGTTATAAGAGCCACAAAATGTGACTTCGCGGTGCATCGCCACAGCGCCTTCTTGTGGTCAAATTGGGGTAAGATTTCACAAACTCCCAGTCCTCGAGGATCCACCATGCGCTACATCTTTCCACACGTTAACAAAAATGTACCGGCAATTTTAAACGCAAATTAATTTTGCTCCACGCTGCACGTTCCCGACTATTGTGGCAGAAATCCCACATGACGCGCTAAGGAGTCAATGCTGTGTATGCGTCGCGGGAATCTCGAATCTTCATTTCAAATCAGCTCTTATTAACGCAGGCGGCGTTAAGCAATTAAGGTGTGGGCAGCGCGTCGCGTATGCTGCGTTTAAAAATAATCGGGCATGTGCAGCATGTGGAAAGAGTTAATTTATATTTCAGTGGGGAGTAAATTGGTAAATGCTGAAAGGAGCAGCGTCCGTGGGGGTTACAAGTACTTGAGTTTTGGACACCCTGCCCTAACAAAAAACATTTTTCTTGCAACAGAGCTGCAAGGACAATGCCTAAATAAATGGTACATAATTACTTTCTGGGTGGCATCGTCTTTATAAGAGGTGGAAATTCAGTCATCAAGCCATTTGAAAAATGCACAAAGCACTCCACTATCATCTTACACCCATAATCTTCAAGTAAAACCTCATTTTATGATTTTAAAGGTCACAAATCAGGAATGCTTTACTTCGTAAACAATTCAGAACAAATATAGTTTTGATAAACTTGTCGTGTCAATGCTGACGTGCGCAAATTGTGGTCTTTTTAAGTTAAAAATTAAATTGTGTTGTACAGTAAATTTCCACCACCGTATATCTTTTTACCCATTACCCAGATGAAGAGTAAAAATAAACCATTATATAAACATTTAAATGCAATCTTTTGGCTTTGTTTTGCTCAAAAATGGTTTTTTTTTCCAGCCACTCCAATGGCTCCTTGGCTGCAAGATCCCCATTTTCGACTAATCTTGAAAAAAACAAATTTAAACTAAAGTTTTGTTGTTGTGACCATGTGCACGCAACGGTTTTGGCACCAAGTTTACAAACTTTTTTTACCAGGTAAGGCCCGCCGAGCTAAAAAGCTCTTTTTAAGAAGCGACCTGGCCACAAACGATAGCTCAACAAAGTGACTTATCACGTGGAAACTTAGAGCAGCGAAATACCCAATTGTGGAGGGAAAAATACCAGAGGACCCGGAGAAAAATCCACGCGACCACGGGGAGAACATGCAAACTCCAAATAGAGGTGTCAGGGTCGGGATCGAACCCACGACCTCCTGTATACCAGGCGAGGTAGTTAACAACTCGCCACCGTGGCGCCAGAGGTGCTGAGCACACTTACCCGGGCAAGCACATGCCCCGTCAGTAGGGCTTGCTGTCATTCTTGGAGCGCTTGAGCTGTACTTTGAGACGCTTGGTGCCAATCTGAAAGCCGTTCATGGCTTGGATGGCAGCTTGAGCCGAGATTGGATTGTCGTAGCTCACAAAACCTGTTAAAAATACGCACGCGCGGTTAACAAAAAAAGGTACAGCTAAAAACGTACAATGAATAAACGAATGCAGATAGGCATTTAGATTCAATGTCTCCGTCATGAAAACTTAAATATATACGCGAAGTATTTAAATGCTTGCCACCCTGATGCTTTGTTGTAATTTTGCGCCTCATGTTAAATGTTTTCCCGCTAAAACACCACCATTCTTGTAAAAGTAGATATCAGTCAACAGTACTAACCTACAGTTAAACCTCTTAAAAGTTATACTTCTGTAAGCTAGAATTCAGGGAGGTAGAATCGCTAACAAATACAAAACCACTGCTGTAGATGTAGAACAAAAACATGAAAAAAATCATGAAAAAATACTTAAGTCTATATACAAAAGACAAAGATCAAGATCACCCAAAAGCCTTCAGCAGGCTACTGGAGCAAGTGACATTAGCGGGCACCTCTTAAGGTCTGAAAGGCACACGAGGGGGATGGGGGTGACCAGCACCACACTCGGTCGCCAATGCTGATGTTTATACACCATACCAGATCCTCATTTAAGGCCAAGTCGACTGAAGGAAGGCCCAGAACTGGTTCAGTTATATTGTCTGCAAGCTATAAATCGAACTCGGGTCACGGGGTTCATAGTACAGTCCGCGAACCAATATACTCCTGATCCCCAATACATATAGTAACGCACATTCAAATGAATGTGAGGAAACCCACCAAAGCACTTGCTGAGGTTTGTCTGCTTGTCCACGAACACCTTGGAGGAGACAACAGAGCCAAACGGCATGAACGTCTGCATGAGGTCCTGATCTCCAAACTCCTGGGGTAAGTGGTAGATGAACAGGTTGGCTCCCTCAGGACCTGAAACACACAAATAAAAACCCACACAACAATGCACCACCAATAAGACGACGGTCATCGCGACAACTGCAAGATTTGCACACGATTGAGAAACTTATAGGACGTACGTCTGAAAGAGAGACATTACAAAACATTGTTATCAACGTATAGTTATTTACAAAATGATATAGACATCATACATAACTGGTAAAGGATCATTAAGTCATGATTTTGTCACTTCACTACACAAACCTAGCACGACTATTGGTCCCTTGTTATCATGATGTTCTGTTCAAACTCATTAATCACTGTATGCACTATAAAATAATTCACATCACCAGCTACATGAATGCCTCCATTTCTTCAGTGGCAGATAATACTTAGCTCAACCAATTCAAATTTATTTCATTAAAAAGGCATATTTCTACGAAGCAAGGCCACTTTATGTAAAATTATCCTTCATTACAAATGTAAAACCGTGAAATTAGAATAGTAATTAGTTTCCATCTTAATACTTCCATCATAAAACTGGGATCGCACTGAAAATGAGTACTCTAGGCCTTGGGATTATTATTCACCCCAAGCTCCTGTTCTGCTTCAACATCTCAGCTCTGCAGGACCTGCCACCTGTGCAACATCTCCCATATCCATCATTACCCTTGTTCCATGAGCTGCCGAGACCCTCAGTAAATATCTATATATCACTTTTCACCTCGACTATGCAAGACCCGCCTCTACAGCCCTGTAAATACTTCTCCTCTGAAGAGCATGGTTGGCTACGTACGGTGCGAAAGAAGTTCGAAAGTTCAGCCCACAGGCAGGGCCTAAGCAGTAAAGGGTGGGGCCTAGAGGGGCAGGGGGAAAAAAACCCAATTGTGCACAAATGGTTTTGCCCCCACCACATCTTGCCACTCGCATCTTTCTATGTCGCCTTCTCACCCTCTACGTTCTCAATCTTTGCTATCTCTCCGTCCCTCCTACTCCTTGTGCTCAATCACGCTATCGCTCCTTTCATCCCCCCCCCTTCACTGAAAAAACTTCCCCTCCACATTAAACGGTGACCTTCACTCACTAGTTTCCGCTCCTCACTAAAATCTCACTTATTTTCCCTAGCTCACCCCACGACCCCTTAATCTCCCCCTCATAACCACCACCGTGTTACTGTTCCCTCTTCATAATCTCATTATATGGATATCACTCATTTCCCATTTATTCAATCCATTTATCATGCTTTACTGTCATCAATGTTGCTTGGTTAAAACCAAGGCGCTTCACAGAGAATTAAGAACGGTAAATGTGAATGTAATGGTGGATGTGAATAAAATGAAAAGCAATGGCGAATTTGTGACGTGAGAATTTGGTGAACGCAAAATTGACAGTAAATCATGATAAATGGATTGAATTAATGGGGAATGATATCCATATATTACCTATAAATGTCATTGCTTGTCTGTCTGTCCGTCTGTGTGTGTGTGTGGCCAAAACTTGCCCAAACCGTGGGGGTTTACGTTGAAAAAGATAGCCAGGGACCACGCCATAAGCCCCGTGCGGAGCCGGCGCTATTCCGATTTTGCGCCCGTCACCTTTAAAGTAGTTTAATTAGCGATTTAGTGCTGTATTCGGTTACTTATTTATTACATAGTGCGTCCACGACCCTACCAACTCGCACGCGTACGGTGGGGGGGCCCTACCAAGTCACACGTGTTCAGTGGGGGTGAGGGGGGAATTCTCTTTCGTGTGGACACTGTGCAAGGTAACACAGATTTACAGCTCCCTTAAAACATTTATTACTATCACTGTTTACTCATTAAAAATCGCCTTATTATAGGTTAGATTTAATGACAGGGATTAACCAATGTTTTATGACAGTTACCAAGTAACACGATTTTTCTCCCCACTACTAAGTGCTACTATTAAATTGTTATATACAAAATGCCTATTATTCCCCACTATCTTTGCTTTAGCGACCATGTCTTTTTGTGACAGCATGACACTTATGCACACGTTTTCTCTTTGAAAATAGGTAAATTTCTAAATATCACCGTCCTGCTCACAAAAAAACAGGTTCGAGGGGAAGAATAGCCTTTTTTCTGTACTCTTGAGGCATAACCAGCCACGTAATATCACTTACTGCGCAGCGGCAAACCAATAAATATACTCATTGCTATTCCGTCTTCATTCTATCATATTTACACTTGCCCCCTCAGTACGGTGGTTGAGTAGTGACGTTATGTCAATGACGCTTGATTGGAGCGCATCTGCTCATAGTTACAGGTAGGTTCGGTTCGTTTTGTATTCCTCGCCTTTCATATATTTGCCGCTCGTGGCAAATGTTTGCACCAAAATGGCGGAACACCCTCGTAGTCGCTCCAAATTACTTATCATACACGCGTGCATTTCCCCTCTCCCTTGCTTCTTTCACTAAAGTCACGTACATATAAACTATTATTAACAAACTTATTTAGCCTATATAAAGGTTAAAGTGTGCGTGTGTATGTCCATGTATGCGTGTGAGTCCATATATGTGTGTGCGTTTTGGCTGTGCGAGTCAATGTGTGTGTGTGACAGTCGCTGTGTTTGTTTGTGTACGTCCATGTGTGTGTGTGCGGTGTGTTTAAGTCGATGTGTTTGTGTGTGTTAGTCGATGTGTGTGTGTCCATGTGTTAGTCGATGTGTGTGTCAGTCGCTGTGTGTGTGAAAGTCGATGTATGTGTGTGTAAGTTGTTGTGTTTGTGTGTGGGTCAATGTGTGTGCGAGTCGATTTGTGCAAGTCCATATGTGTGTGTGTCGCTCTGTATGCGTGTCCGAGTCGATGTGTGTGTACGTCCGTGTGTGCGAGTCATGTGCGTTTGTCCACGTGTGTGTGCATGTCCATGTGTGTGTGCGTGTCCATATGTGCGAGTCTATGTAAGTCGATGGGTGTGTGTGTAAGCCGACGTGTGTGCGAGTCGATGTGTGTGTAAGTCCATGTGTGTGCGTGGGTCCATGTGTGTGTGTAAGTCCATGTGTGTGTGTAAGTCGATTTGTGTAAGTCCATGTGTGTGTGTGTAAGTCCATGTTTATGCGTGGGTCCGTGTGTGTGTAAGTCTGTGTGTATGTGTGTAAGTCTGTGTGTGCCAGTCGATGTGTGTGTGTAAGTCGATGTGTGTGTGTAAGTCGATGTGTGTGTGTAGGTCGATGTGTGTGCGAGTATGCATTTGTGTAGGAGTCGATGTGTGTATAAGTCTGTGTGTGAGTCGATGTGTAAGTGTAACTCCACGTGTGTGTGTGTGTGTAAGTAGATGTCTGTGTGTTTGAGTCTGTGTGTAAGTCGATAGTTGTCTTTTTTGCCCGGGCAACGCCGGGTACTTCCCACTCATGTTAAGGCGCTCTATAAATTACATTAAGATGAGGGGTACTTCAACCTAAAACGTCCCTGTTGATTTAAGGCAGTGTTCTTCATTGCAAGGCCCATGGGCCACTGGCAGCCCCTAACACACAAATAGTGAACACACCCCATTGCAGGCGGTGTGGCGACCCTCACACCGATTGTCTTATCTGCAAAAGCGCCCCCCCCCCCCCTCTGAAAATTAGTGAAGAAAACCAATTTAAGGAAATGAAAGTGAAGAATCAAGCGCAGCAGGAAGAATATTGTAATGCCGCCAGAAACCAATCAGTCCCGTTAGTTACCTTAGTTATTCATCTATCCTCAGATGCACCATTGGAACCTCCTTTGCCAGCAGCAAAATATGATAATTGGCTTTTTATACCCTTTAATCTGGCAACAAAACCGACACCTTTTTTTTTTACAAGGAGACATGTTTGCATTGACCACAATACCTGCGGTCGGAATGCAAACAAAAAAACATAACTCTGATAATGTATGCACTGTCCTCCTTGAAATTGATTGGTCCACGCCCGAGACAGCAAGGGTGCGCCAAAAGGCACACCCCCTTTTGGCGTCATCTGGTCCAACACCATGTGAGACTAGGCTTTAAGGAAAGCTGTGTCGGGTGTGGACCAATCAATTTCAAGGACAGTGCATTCTGACCGCAGGTATTGTGGTCAATGCAAACATGACTCCTTGTAAAAAAAAAGGTGTCAGTTTTGTTGCCAGATAAAAGGGTAAAAAACCAATTATCATATTTTGTTACTGGCAAATGAGGTTTCCAATGGTGTAAATGCTTACCCCGAGCTCTCATACTCTGATGGTGCATTGTCTTTGAGTTGTGCGCCTTTTGGCGTCATCTGGTCCAACACCATGTGAGACTAGGCTCTAAGGAAAGCTGTCTCGGGTGTGGACCAATCAATTTCAAGGACAGTGCATTCTGACCGCAGGTATTGTGGTCAATGCAAACATGACTCCTTGTAAAAAATAGGTGTCAGTTTTGTTGCCAGATAAAATGGTAAAAAAAACAATTATCATATCCTCAGTTGTTTACTTAAATCTCTCTTTATATGTAACGTTAAGTTATTGGTTTTCGTATTAGGCTTTGCCTTGCCTGTATCCCCTGCTGGGCTCCCTGGCTGAGCTACTCAGGCAAGTCCGGTCTATACTGGATTAATTATTAAAGCAAGGGACCCTCATTGAGTTTAATGGGTCTAATTCGCAACTGTGTTGTAAACTAGAAGCAACCAATTCGTTTTAAAATGGGTATATCGCATTCCCATGATGCATTAACCATCATGATAGAGCTGAGTTTCCAAGGGCCTTATGAATGTTGGTGCATAAACATTGGCAAGTCTATTAAGATTTTTTTCCCCCATGGAAGTGGATACATTTACAGGCTTGCATGTTTCCATTACTATAAAGTTCAGTGCAAAACTTTCCTCAACGTAACTTCATTGCATTCTTCAAATATTGAAGCAATGCCACGTTAAAAAACGAAACAGCTTAGCACGTAGGCTTTCGCAACCAATATCATCCAACATACAGGTTTTTGGGGTTAGATGGCGTAAATATATAAATGTGCCGTTAAACCTGTCACCACGCGACACAGCCAATTAGTAAGGTTTGACACGTAAACAGAACGTGCCAATTAATGACTAGTACAGCACACCGGTGTGTTGTAGAGCAAAGCCACAACATTAACAATACCAGTACGACGTTTCGCCAGTAATTATAACTATCTTCATCAGGCGACAGCCTGATTTGTGGATAAATCCTCCTGTTTTGTTCCTTAAATAGAGGGATATATGTTATGGCATCACCTGGGATCACTTCTTGAGCATTATGGGTTATTTTATATGGTAATCAACATACATTATGCATGTGCATTATGCAAGCCCCATTGTTCTTGTACTTCCGGTCACCTGATGAAGCTATATCCTTTGCGACTTTCGGTAAAGTCACGTACATGTATTCAGTGTTGAAGACTATGTTAAACAGAGCAGCATGCAAAATATTGTTTTAAGATGCAAGACAACAGCAAAAACCTGAAATTTGTCAAATGTATTCCAGAGGGCACAGGTTCACTTGAAAAATGTTGTCAACTGTACATTTCATCACGTGTTTTTATTCTTGTTTCACTAAGATGAGGTTAAGATTGCAGCATGTTTCAGCCTCGGCCTATCAGGAAATAAAGTATATTTTTCTTAGTAATATACAGCATAAGGCATACAAACCAGGTATGCCCCTACAAAATAACACATTATTTTCTAGGTTGCACCTTTAATTCCCAAGCATTACGAATCACCTCTGCATTCTTTGCAAAAAAAAAGAAAGGGCCTCTTGGTTTTTGATCAGGCTGTGCGCAAGTGTGTTCACGTGGCCACTCATGCTAGAACCACTCACCTTCTTTCTGGCTGCCCATGGCTGAATGCTGCTGCTGTTGCTGCATCAATGAGCTCTGGCCATAGAGGTTGGGCAGGGCGGCAGCCGTGTAGTGCTGCATGCCAGAGTAGGCCTGCGACAGGGCATCCATCGTGCTGCCCGAGCCATTGGCAAGGCCACCGTTCAGGGATCCCATACCTGTGTTTGCATATGTGGAGACGTACAACATTGCACACATACGTATCCATGCACGCAAACGCCTATGTTTACAGACACACACGCAAGAATGTGAAAGTGCATACAAATTAAAGCATGTGCAAGCAAGTACACAAAGCACCAATAGATATTTAATACTTGGGACCAGGATATATTGGCTGTTTAATAATTCAACAATGCATTGAGGGAGATAACCATACGCAAGCCATAATGAAAAAAAACATCAGTCGGTGTGTCAGGAAAATTGACGAGGGCAAGCGCCCGTGTGTTGACAAGATTTATGACGGGCGCATCTATCAGAGAAAAATATTTCACCAGCAAGTGAGCCAATGCCGAGGCCAGAGGAGACACCCGAGAGGCCCTGCAGGGCACCCAGTGATGACATTGAGGTCACAGCTGCTGAGGGGCTTGAGGAACTTCCCACTGGGAAAAGTGTCAAGAGCAACAACAGGGGCTAGATGAGTGACATCAAAGTGCTAAAAGGGGGCTTTCTGGATGACTCAGGGAACTGATACCCATGTAAAGTACTGAGTCGACGCTTTAAAAAACCTCACGTAAAAATCTGCAGTATAAAAATGGTATACTTTCAGTCACCTACGATTGCACAAAGAACTCAAACTTTTAGAACACCGGTGATAGACTATATACTAGGCCATAAGACAAAATGGCATACCACAGCTTTAGGATCATGTGAAGCCGAGTATTCGTACGATGCCATTTGACACACTCCTCAAGAATAGTTGAATACATCTGGTGCCCAAGAACAAGAAGTGTAGGCTCCCCCAGGGCATCATTACAGGCTCCCCCCGGTGAATCGTCACAATACACAATGGCACTGTCACATTATAATAATCTTCAGTAACACTACATCCAAGATAACCTGAACTCAGTATTATCAAAATCCCTGAAAACTTCAATTTTGCAAAAAGAACAACTCATGAAACCAACTAAGAGATGAGAATCAAGACCCTCCAAACTATCCCGAGTCAACTAAATCCAGAAGTCATAGTTTTTCGGGGTAGGTGGGAGTTAGCAGGTTGACAGCTGTACATGAAACTTGGGGGTTTAACTTAAATCGTAAGGCTGCATTTTTATAACAAGCCAGTCAGATTCCTCGAAAAAACTCTAAACTGTCAACAAGCCCACAAGAGAGCTAGATAAATGGCAAATTGAAACTAATTCTAAACTTAGTAATTTAATTATAAGTGCAGGACCACTTTGCACATGTATGTGGAATACTCACTTTGCCATTCCATACCTTTGCAAAAGCGACAAAAGCAGCTCTACTTGCCCAGGATACAGGGATAGCTCTGATCAAAAGAGGATTACAAGTGGCCATCCCAGCAAAAACTTTGGTTTTTTACATCTCATGCATGAATTCCTTAACCTGGAGTAAAAAAGCTGCTTCAAAGCTGGATGATCCCCCATTTTCTCTCACCATTCACAGCACAAAGATTTGCCCAGACAGTTCAGAATGCTCACCCATTTAAAATAAGAAAAAAAAACAGGGCTCTAACAAGGTTCAGATTGTAGAGTCGCAAGAACGGCTTCAAACATAACGATGGGAGAATGAGAAACAATGCAATTGCCAGATCTCGGGCTGCTTATGCATCCTGGACATGCCGGTTCATTCTGATGGGTTGAACCTGACTCCCCCACCCCGCCCCTTGGTAGCATTCACTTCCTCCTGATGGTGTCAACTTGGTTTCCTTTCTTGCCGCTAGCCGCCGTTGAGTTGTTTCCATCTCCAAAGTGGACTGCCGCTTTTTGTGCCGAAATTTGAGGGTGTCTCACCACCGCTTGTCCCAATCTGCAGTGCTGGTAAGTGCACCATGAGGTACACACACCTACAGAGCGTGCTCAATACCGCAACAGTGAAAGCACAGGGTGTGCAGTGGGGGGGCGGTCACTTATTTTGAGAGTGACCCTTGCACGTCCACATACGTGCGGGCATGTTTAGCTTGTCAGCTAAGGCCATGAGTAATACGGAGGGGAGGGGGGGAGGCAATATTTCTTCAGCCAGCATAATATACAGCCCCCCTGCTGCGGCAGCCAGCAAAAGACTCTTCAAGTAGGAAGACCCCATACCATGCACTGCTCACAGGGTCCCGCAGACCCCACAAAAGCTTACAACAAAAGGCTTCTGGGCACATGGCCCAGAATCTGAAAACCCAAGATGGTGGCACCAGGGTCACATGACAAAAAGACAGTATTGTGATGATGCACTGGTGGGGGGAGCCTGTTTTAAACTTAAGATTTCTGGGTGGTGGGCTATCAGATGGGTGTTCAAGTCTTGAGGATTGTACCAATGACCACCGTTAGAAAAACATCTCTCTCACACGGTTAAAGCTTGCGTAACTAGGGGCAGGCACAAGATTGAGAAAAGGAAACCCATCAGAATCTGAATGTCGAACTGTTCCCAATCACACGGTGTCAGTACTACAATTAGGAGGATTAATTTGACAGTAGAGCTTCTCTGCACGATACACTCTGGCAGCAGAATTGAAAATTGTTAAATAAAACTGCACAAAAACATAAAAGGAACGGCTTGAAAATGTAGTCTGAGCATTCGTATTGAAGTATGAATCATGGGTTGGTTTGATTATATAACAAGAACAGAGATTCAAGGGGGTTAAGCATAGTTTATCACCGAGTTCAAAGCAAGTCTTAAAAATACGTGGACTATTTGTAAAACCAATTTCAACGTTAGTGGTTTACAATGTATCATAAAATCACAAGGCAGTGCCTGCAAGTATAAATTTCGCATTAAAAGTCTTAATAATAATTTCAATTTATAAAGTGCCCTTAAACAATCGTTCTCAGGACGCTATGCATGGGAAGGCGGAAAACAGTTAACAATCAAGTGAAAAAGTGAGAAAGATGTTGTAAGTAACTAGAGAATACCATTTTAAACGGATACATTTTCAGTCTGGATTTGAATATTTGTGTCTCAGATGTACCGACCTCGAAGGGCAACGACTTCGAGTTTTAGGTGCCGCAATTTATTCAGGCGTTTGCATTTTTCAATTGGCTCAAAAGTCGTTTTGGTCAGTATGCAGGCCAAAGTGTTCCCCTTACCAAGTTAACAGGCTGTGTGCAAACAGAGACAGCAAGCAGAAGCTAAGCTCACATGTTCATTCAAGTCCCCTTGTCAGGGAAACTTGGGATTACAGCTTTACGGGGACTATTTTTTAATGTGCATTCAATTTTCCAGACAGTCTTCAGAATTTGGAACATAGGCCCACAGTGGTTTACTTTTATGAATCATTGTCAGTTATTAATTGTGCACTATACATCAGAACAAGTGCTTTTAGTAATTATCTGCAGAAATTACAAGACCGCTGCAGTAAGAATAAACATATTGGTTACATGTCACATTTCCCAGTGGCTAGCATTGTGACCAAGCAGATGTGTTCCCACTTTTACATCAAAGTGGGAGTGGTTTTAACAGCAATTATTTTTGTTAATGGTGTCAAAACTGGATCCAAGATTATGGTGTATTCATGAGCAAAGTCTCTCACTTGGGCTGTAGGCTGACAAGCTGCTTTGTGACCCGAGGGTGCTTTGCGATGAGTGGCCCATGCCTACCATGGCCGCCAACGTGGCTAATTGCACAGAGTTCAGGCCTGCAAATGCATATGCAACGTAACCACATGCAGCGAAACCTACACAGCCAAATCATGCACCCCCACCCCCCACTAAAGCAATGCGGAGCATGAGTGCAGGAAAATGTAAACAAAAGAAAATGTAATTCACACTTCCAACATTCACTCAGTTGGGAGTTAAATTAAATAAAAGCCATTAAAAGCCCAGTGTAAGAGATGCAAAAAAACAAATGTAAAGGTTTACTCCAGTGGGCCCAATAAAAAATCCTGGGATAAATTAATGGATATGTAGATAAAATAATAAATACAAATAAAGATTAAGCGCAGAGGTTACAAAATCCACAACACCAATTTTAACGCAGTCACGGCATGTGTACGGTCATCTGCTCAAGAAACCACACAATATGCACACTAACAAAACGACAAATGTATCCAACACGGAGCAAATTATTACTCTTGATAACTGAGGTTCCATCACCTTTGACATTTTTACCACAACATGAAGATCATAACCACGAGTGAAATTCCCCACCAACACGTAGAGCTCTACGTACAGTTTTGACCAGGGGTGGGCAAATTTTTTGACTCGCGGGCCACAATGGGTTCTAAAATTTGACAGAGGGGCCGGGCCAGGAACAGATGGATGGAGTGTTTGTGTGAATTAATATGACATGTAAAAATTATTACAAATGATTCGGCCTTTAACAGGTAGCAAAGCATTTATTTGCAAGGCAATTTAACAAATTGCACGAACATGAACAATACAAAAACATGCTGTAACTCCCGGTCAAAGTGCGCCATCTAATGGGGAAATGGGGGCATTACAGTAGAAAGGTAAAATTTATTTTAATAATATTTGGACAAGTTCGGCAGGCCAGATTAAAAAGCCCAATGGGCCACATACAGCCCGGGGGCCGTACTCTGCCCATGTCTGGTTTTGACAGTGCATTATATACATCTGCACATTGATATGAATGCAGATTAGCGTTATGAACAATTAGGGCTGGGGATGGGTAGATGTGGGACAATTACTGAGGCAACGGGGTGGGGGGTGGGGGGAAAGATTGGAATGCGGATCGAAAGCAAAGGCATGGATGACAGAGGGTCCACTACAATCTATGCTGTCATCCACCCCTTTGGTAGGAAGAGCAAGCTTTGCCACTTCCAAACCCCGAGACGAACACAATGACGTGCCTATGTGCGCACGAACGCACATTCCTACCTTCCAAGTTTTGTAAGAACGCCAATGCGAATGCTTATTTGCAGATAAGTATTAAATGCAAAGTGTTGGACTGAAAATTTACCTGGATATGCGATTGTCCACTAGATTGCCTCCCGACCTCACCTCTTTATAACGTGTCTATATTTAGGCCCACGGTGCTGGTAGATAGCACATAATTTATAAACTAATGATGGATATCATCTCCTTGCTGCAGTCAAAATACTTGACTTGTGGGAAAAAAGGTGGTTGGTGGGGCCCCAAATCTCCTGTCATGAGAACGCTTCAGAAAGCTCACCGATGATTATAAACAACAGACTGCACACGCGCAAGCCATCTAACACTCGGCACACGTGTATTTTTGCACCGAGACTGACCTGAGACCTGAGGCATGCCGCCGTAGGCACTGCTCATTCCACCCGCAGAGGAAGCCTGCTGCAGTAGCTGTGGACGACAAGTGGGGGGGGGGGGGGGGTCGGTTGGAAAAATTACGGTGGGCCCCATGAGCAGCAGTGTTAATAGCACACCGCCACTCCCAAACCGGTGCCCTAGGGGTGGATCCACAATGTAAAGTTAGACACTGCGCCTTTGGCACCAAAGTGCGGTTGAGACTCAGCCGTCAAAAGAAGGACCCAGAACACACTGGGCCGACGAAAATGGAGCAGTCATCATCCGATGAGATGGACCGTGACGACGACCACCAATGAGATTTTGCGTGAAAATGTAATTGCTCGAGTGACAAATGCTTATTTATGGAAAGCGAAATGTTTTTTAAATGAATCAAAGCAGTACTTTTTTTAATAACTAAAAAAAATGTGGCTCTTGTGCTACAATGAATGACCCTATTTTGTGTTGTATGTTCTCAAGTAGAATCAAGGTCCATAGACGATGGAACTGTGCAACGACTCTTGACAATCGAAAGGGGTCGTTAACTCTCTCCGTTTATGATGAGCAGCTGCCGATGATGTTGGTGGTGAAACGGGGTTGATGAACTTGGTGAGGGTGGATGGGTCGTGATTGGGTCCGCTGTCGGGATTGAGGACTGGGTTGGCATTTCTATTCTTTTGCCAGACTTTTCCTGGGACACTGCCAATGGGCAGGTTTTGGTGGCCGCCATGCCCCAGTGTGCATGCACGAGTTGTCATTTGTTGCGTCTGTGATGTCGTTCAACATCGTTCAATTTCCTCCCATATGCAAAACGTTCTTAAAAACGATGAAATTATTAAACAATTTTTAATTCACAATTGAGCTATATAGCTTTTTCTGAAGCAACCTGACCACAAACGATAGCCGAACAAAGTGATTTATCACGTGAAAAAGAATAGCAGCCAAGTATTCTAAACATACACTGTATCGATTTTCAAAACACAAACTTGATAACTCAGCGAGACCTTGCTAGACGAAGAGCATATTTTATACAGGTGAAGGATAGCATTTTTCTGATCACACGAACTAAGCTGAAAGAAGCTTACAGCAAGGTACTGAGGGTTCAGAGTGGCAAGTCCTCCTCCGAGACTGCCCCAGCTGGTGGCGGCAGCGTTCAGCTGCTGCAGTTGTTGCAGCTGGGTCTGAAGCTTGCGCTGCTCCTTGTCCTTTTGAGTGTCGGCAAACTTCACCACCACGGCCGACGAGCAACCCTGTGAACGCTACGTGCATCAATTACCGCGGCCTACACCAGGCGTAAAGAACATAACACACAACCAAGAAAACACTGCTCACATTTCAATAGTGGAAAGACTTTCAACTCTGCTTAAGAGATTGAAAGTTCTACGAACCTTATTACTTTGGCAACATTTGAATATTTAATTGCTGCAGTGAAGAAATTTACATTTAAGAGGAAAAAAGTAAAACATTTAAATGTTCAGTCCTAGTTACGAACAAAGCCTTTAATTCCAGTCACCGCATCGTCAACAAAACTGCATTGCCACTCCGATAATTAAAACACCCTTGTTTTACCTCCATAGTTTGGGAATGATGCATGCTCTTGATTGCGTTTTGAGCCATCATTCGTGTTGCAAATGTAATGAAGCCACACCCTGAAAACACAAATCAAGTATTTTGTTGAAAAACTCGAAAAACTTGTCATTAAAAAATCTTAAAACACTCACATCGTCAAAAATAGCGACAACTTTAGTCTTCCTATGGATGCAATGATTCAACTGAACGCCAATGGTTAGACTTTTGGACAAAGTGGAACGTGGATTAGATAACACATGCAGGTTAATGACATTTCAAAACGGTTTAAAAAATAATCATTAATTCTGAAATTCAACTGAAATCCCTAACACTGACAATTCATTAAATCTGGTTTGGGGGGCGTGGGGGGGGAGGCGAGGGAGGGCAATTGTTACATGCCTAATTTTGCAGAGCAATTACACGGGCAATTGTGACAAATCAATTCAACTCAATGCTAAATGGATTACTGACAAGGACAGTGACCCATGAAGGGACGTCATCCAGCAACTTCTCCAAAACGCGCCTTAAAAGATAGTTTGAATTTTTTTTCCGCGTGCTTTTGTGTCTGTGTAAAACTGTAGAGGTTACCCTTGCTCTGTCCATCCGTTCCCCGCAGAACACGGCACTCCTCGATTTGTCCAAAAGGGGAAAATATCACGCGCACATCGGCTTCACTCAGCTGCTTGGACAGCATTCCGATGAACAGCTTTCTTTCCTCCACTGAATAAAGACGGAAAAATAAGCATGAGACAGGTTCCTACCCACACAACTCGATAACCTTCTTACCCCCACCCCTACTGAACCATCTGTGAAAAAGAGCGTTATAGCTGATCAGATTACTTCAATATTAATGTATGTATGTGTGGTGACACCCGACACAGTAGTCTATAATTATAGCGGAGCGAGTCATATTGTAGCGAGTCACTTCTGAGACACTAATAGTAGGAGGCATACACATTTATTCTACACTTTCCACAGTATAGGGCATAACTATATACGGGTCAGGACAGCCGACACGCTGCCTGACCCAACGAAGACTTCGTGGACGACGGGCTCCATTCCCAAACCGCAGCAGCCACGACCCAGCGTTGGGGCCTCCCATTTATCCTCCCCAGTGTGGCCTAGCTCTGCCCTCGGCCACGCCCCCTTCTGGAACCGACCAGAAGGTTCTGGGCTCTGCCCCACGTGTCCCCTGTCACCTTTACCCTACATCCGTGCCTATCACGTGCCCTACTGGCAGATCGGCCGCTGTATCCTCAAATGACCTTCAATGCCAACAACCGGCGCTACTCAGCGAAATGAGCCATTCAATGTCACTACAACAAGAGTCTTTATTACTTCCAGCACAAGACAGTGTTCAAGGATTCTGTTCACTCCAAGCATCCCGAATTTTCTCGCTTTCCCTTTTTTACTCGTCAAGCCCCTTTTCGCAAAGGTTTCTTAACCTGCTTTCCCTTCAATCTTCCAATTTTTCTAAAGGATTCCAACCGTTCAACCTGTTAATCACTCAGTATTCCAATCTTTCCATTCGTAATTCTCCTCCAACCCCTACAATTCTCTGCCTCTTACCAATCCCCTTTCAGGCCCGTTAAGCACCAGAGGACTTGTTTTACTTCCTGACTGTCCGTGTCATGCACGCTGTGTCCATAACGTTGGGTGAGCATTTTCGGTTGTGATTGAATCACTACATATGTAGACCTTTTTTCGGACCGTACATCGCCAACCGCGCTTATTGGAGGTGCGGGGAATGGACAAACTAAACACAAAAAAACTGTTCTAAAAAAGAAATAAAGATTTTGTTTCACCCGTGTTCTGAGCATTATTTGAGGAAAATGATGTAATTTCTCAATTTCAGCTAGTATGGTCCCCAAATGGGTTGGTGTCATCACTTATAGATACATTAAAGCCAATTTACTGCAGTTCTCATAACCGACATCACACAATTGTGCTTCTATACGCAATTTAAAACATACTTGATGATAATAGCATGAAATGTTGTTTTGTTTTCCACAATGATCAGCTGTATGCCAATGCTGTACTCGGAATCATTACAACAATCACTTCAATGGCCCAAGCAGGAGGTAAGCATGTGGAAGCGTTCAAACGATTTTCTACTAATTCACAAAATTGCTCACACCTTTTCAGGTAAAATATATACGCTTACCAAAAGCATTATTGTTTAAACCGACTATATAAAATTGTGTTCTCCGTAAGGTCTTACCACTGGACTTTTCGCTGTCGGCTGGCTTCATCTGTATAGGATGATACATCTGAAAAATAAAATTTTAAAATTAGACGGCATCACACATGCAAATAGGTCGTCTTGTAAATAAATAACTGGTTAATTTTAATCAAATGCAATCAAGGTCTAGTGCCTCCCGAGACCAGATCTGCCTTACCTTGTTTCCGTGACCGAGTTACCAAGCCTCCCCCGGGTAAGGGGGACTGAGACAGGACCAGGGAAAGCCCATGAAACTCATCATCATCAGCATGTGACTTCATCAGCCACGGAGTATGATGCACTCATGGTCGAAGAGGTCCGTGTAATTAAGGATTACTTTTTTTCACTCCATATCTACGCCAACCCTTTGATAAAGGACAAGTCCTGAATATAAAATAATAAATTGATAAAATAAAATAACACAATAATATTCTCACGACGTTTCGGCCACAACACAAGCGGCCATCATCAGGTGAAGGGAGCGAGACTGTCTGGTAGGACAGCGCTGTCCTACCAGACAGTCTCGCTCCCTTCGCTGTCTCGCTCCCTTCGCTGTCCTACCAGACAGTCTCGCTCCCTTCACCTGATGAAGGCCGCTTGTGTTGTGGCCGAAACGTCGTGAGAATATTATTGTGTTATTTTATTTTATCAATTTATTATTTTATTCTCATTCTACGTGACTTTACCGAAAGAACCAAAGAAGATGAATCATTGCAGTCACGAAAGCTTTAAATCGAAATTTAAGTCCTGAATAGTTTATACGAACCACATTTACATGGGAATTTACGAGAGTAACTGTGACCAGCCACCTCAGGCGAATAGAGCTAATGGATTAACACTTTCAACCTAAATTGCAAAGTGTTAAACAACAAAAATCGAAGTGTAACGTATAAAGCAACGTTTGAGATTGGAAACCTGTAACATAATCCTCCCTTTAAAATTATTACTTGTATTTTATGAATCAGAAAAAGGGAACATCGTGAGGCAGGGCAAAAACAAAAGGTCATGACCAGGGTTGAGGACCAGGATTACTGACCCCAGGCAGAGTCTTGATGTTGTGCAGGGAGCTCTGGGCTTCAAGTGCAGCTTTGCGGGTGCAATACGTGACAAAGCAGCAACCTGTGCATTGGTAACATGCATAACGCCTTATACCAACAACAGCGGACATGAAAAGCAATACAACTGGCTCACTCACGTAGACATGAAAAGTGTTTCTAATACACGTAATATTTAAATATTTATATATTTTCTTCCACGTATTTTTTTTGACCACATATGTTTCAGGAATTCTTTTAAATGTGTTTTCTATCAGTTGGATGAACCAAGTAAAAAAAAAAAATACACGCTATCCTCTCTCTCCAGAGTACTCAAAACATAGGCCGAGGAAAGTGTGCGCACAAATTTAGACTTATATTTGGTGAAACAGTTTATATGCTTATCAGGTTTTTTTTGGGTTGTATCACGTAAATATATAAATGTGTCGTTAAACCCACCACCATCCAACAGCCAATTAGCAAGGTTTGTCACTTAAACAGAACATGCCAATTCGTTACCAATACAGCACACCGGTGTGCTGGAGAGCAAAACCACAACATTTACCAACAGTTGATAATGCATTTGGGTCATTAGAGTAATAGCACTGAATTGGTAAGGCAACTGGGGAAACTTATGGAAAGCAGATAAGATATTGTTTTTATTTCTCTAAAATTAGAGACCAATTATATAGGATGGGCACCAATCACCTAAATTGATCAATTCTACAGAAGAATTCATGTCCACATTGCAAGCCGACCCGGTTAATATTGTGGGTGCATTAAATGTAAAACGACGTTCCGCTTGCTTCACAGCAGACACCAAATAGCCAGTGCCGGTCCAAATTAGTCACATTTGGAAAAAACTACATACAAATTGCTGAAATGGAAAACCAATATAGCAACATCGACCCCGTACTGGCAGACCAATGCTGTGTCCACCAGGTACCAAAGGGGGACAAGCTGTCAATAGGGGGTCCCCCGCCGTGTCCGCTACCTCCCCCCCCAGACTAAAAGAATATGCCGAGTAGTTTCGTTACATCATAAGCAAAGCATAAATGCAAGTACTGCAAAAGTCCTTGCTTAACGCGTGTTCACACCCACAACGGGTTTTCGCTATGATCGGTCCATTCGGCAACACTTTTTGGACAACGCGCCGGATAAAACGAGGAAAACGCACCTCGCTATGGGGCAGTTTTCCAAGCGGTCGACGACGAAACCACTTTTTCGAGCTGCGCGGTTGAGCGGAATTATATAGAAATGCGGCGGCAGCGTACCCTCAAGTTACTTGTCGCGCCACCTTACTGCGCGTGCATTATATATGTGTGGGGAATTTTTTTTAACGCTCAATGCGTTTTTCGATGAACACGGCACTTTTCAGGAGGTTGTCCACCACTGTTATGATCATAATCAAACGGAGCATTTCCCAGGAGAGCTCGCAGGCGCACAACAACAGCAACAAAACGAACCTCTGCTGACAGCCGGAGTCTGTGTCCGGTCGCGAAGCACGTTCACCTCGTGCACGGCTCCAAACTGCTCGAACAGTTCACGGAGCTCAGATTCGCCCCACGAGCGAGGGATCTGCCCGACGAACATCTTGATGGCGTCTGGGTCCAGATGGCCCCGTGCTTCCAGGGATCCCCCATTCATCATAACGCTCTTCCTCCAAAACCTTGATTATGCTGCGGGGCAAAAAACAAAGATACGCCGTACAGCTTTAAGACCGTTGGGGCAAGTGCTGTTAGTAAGCACCTATGAAAGCCGGCATGCAACACGAGGGGGTGGGGGGTGGCCATCACCACACCCAGACACCTTTTTCTCCCCAGTGGTTATGTTTACACACCATACCAGGTACTAATTGAGGCTGAGTCGACCTAGGAGAGGCCCATGACCGGTTTAGATAATCGTCACTGGTATTGACCGTGAACGGGAATCGAACTCAGGTCGCCCGGTGGGTTCGTAGATTAGCCCGCTACACCACTGACTATGCTGCGGGAACACAAACAAACACGTGCACACAATAGTTGGGTTTAACATAAGTATCCAAATGTTAAAGAAATCGGCACAAATTGCCTCGAAAAATCCAATCAAAATTAATTAATATTCGCAAAAGGACATCATGGGAAGACTTTAATTCAGCAGTGGAGAAAACATGATCACTGTGACGCTCTATGAAGATACAAAGACAATACACCTCGGAAATTAATAACTAAAATAAACCACAAATGTAATTGTCCCTCCATCACGCTCTCTGCATAACTGTGAGCAAATTGACAATACACAAGGACAACCAATGCATAAAACTACATTTTTACCTTTCCTCAGTGCTAATCCTTCACAGCAGTATACCAGAGATGGGATACAATTATTGCCAAGATAAATGGGGTTGAGAAGTGTTGATCAATTATTTACACGTGACCTATTATCAGTTCATTAAATTAAAGTGCTTCAAATGCAACACTTTGTAGAGCTAAAGGTCTTAATGCTCGTGTGGGCAAGCTACACTCATCAATAAAAGCATTGTGATTAAACGGTTGGCGGTAAAAGGCCTTCACTACTAAGGACAAGCAGACACCATGGTAACAAAACATCTTAGCGCTGCTCTCGGTTTGTGTTCGCCTGATGAGGTTAGTTGTCATTTCTGGCGAAACGTCATGCTAGAATTGAAAATATGGGTTTATTCTCCAGCACACCGGTGTGCTGAACTAGTAACTAATTGGCATGTTTTGTTTACGCGACAAACCTCACTAATTAGCTGTCGGGCGGTGGCAGTTTTAACGACACATTAATATTTACGCGATCGAACCCAAAAAAAAACCTCTAATGGATAATATTGGTCGCGAAAACCTACGTGTTAAATTGTCTTCGAGAGCCTACAGTTTTGTGGAGATGACCAATTTCATAATTATATTCTGGAATTGTGGCCGATTTAGGGGTGGGCTCAAGATTTTGCACGCATGCATTGTCGAGTGTATTTAATACACCCCCCCCCCCAAGGCAACCAACGTTCATACTTTGAATAACTATGGTTACTACGACACCTGTTGCAGAAAAAAATGGACGACTGCTATATAACTCAAAGGCGTGATAAGGCAGCAGTTACAGAGGCAGGGAAAGGTCAGGAAGAAAAGGTCACCCCTTGGCATTTGCTCATTGCACATTTGTGGGAAGTATCAAGCCAGCATAAACAGCATCTCATCACTCCAGGGGCAGCGAGTTCATTAACCTCACCAAGGCGGCAAGGACTTGCTCAATTTATGGACTTTCGTTCGACGCAAGAGAGAAACAAGGCTTAGAAAATATTTAAAGAATAATAAAATGTCGACATGCACATACATTTCCATGCAAAAGTACACATTCTATTACTTTATAATCTACGCTTGGTTTCTTTAAGCATATTTTTACAGCATTAAGATATATGTCAACACAATCGTCAACACTATATCAAGTCAATCGCCAAACTACAGTTTGAATACATTATACACCGTATATTGTAATCTTGTCTCAGATTGAACAGTACTACAATCGGAAGACATTTTAAAACTTTTTATTGGTCATAAATCAGTGCTGCACTAGAGCAGAATTGTTACTCTCCCCAAACCGAATATTTTATCGACTCCTGACTAGTGTGATCCAAACCAATCCAGAGCGATAATTTGCACAGGCTCACACACACAATAGCCACACAAACATAAAAACAAGAACACACACTAGCCAGCATGAGTCACCGCTCCTCCAAATCCTACTATCCTTCCACCATCCCCCCCGCCATGCAGTTAATGCACAACATCCCTTAAATGCCCAAGCTGTTACCGTGCAATCATGCCATGCACTCCTACACCAGCTTCATTGCACCTCCCACCCCCTACATGGCTAATGCTGGCCCCTAACCCCCTGTAACGTATTCATTATGTCATGTGCTCAAGTGTTTGCCCAAATATATATGTAAAAAAAATTACCATGTGGAATATTCAAAGCATGTCCTATAAGTCAAACTTTTATGTACAAAGGCCTAAATTTTTATGTAATGTATTTTTGTTTGTGCTTCATTAAAATATTATTGATTTGAGATAATGGGGGATAAGTCGGTAGAGGTGACTTTGTAAGAGAGTGCAATAGAAGATAAAACATTAATTGGCCTTTCCAAGCACACATTCATTCCCAAGAGGTTTTACTGTGACAGCTAACCCTGCTGAAGATTTTCCTGGAGCACACTTCCACCACCTGCCACGAACGTGGGCTTAGACAAAATGTCACTTCCTGAACGATAAGCCAAGAGTACTATCCCGTCTAATAAAATATTCAAAAGGAAAAGAGTAGTTGCGCTCAATCAATTCATCACCTATCACGAGCAATCGAAAAACATTAATTTAAAAAAGTCCGGTTAACAAGTAATCTTTTATTGCTTTTTATAAGCCTCAGCTTACTAGAGTAGTTGTAAAATATTTGCACTCATGCACTTCCATTATCTACACCTGAGTGAATGCAACTGGCACGAGAGCCCACTTTAAAATGTCTTTGAGTAAAATATAGTAAAAATAATAACAATAGTTGACACTTCTGAAGCACCTTTCACTGGGAGGTCACAAGGCCAACATTCAGTCAACACCCAGGAATCACAATGTACTCGAAGACTTTAGAGTATGTAATGATGCTGGGGGGGGGGCACTACAGCTTTTGCGAGTAATAATGCTATTTTATGTTGCTTTTTTCAAACAATCAAATCCAAGATTTGTAACGCGCCGTATTCATCAACAATCTTAGACGGAAGCACGGACGGCAGAGAACACATGGGCTGTAAAACAAATGGGATATAAAACTTACCAGTCGCACAAACGTATACATTTATACCCAAAACTTTTTAAAAGATTAGACCGCAGAGCAAAAAAAAATCCAATTCCACAAATTTCTGTGGGGTTATTTGGACAAAAGACATGCAAAAGGCCTATTAAATCCGACACATGGTTCTTCAAACATATTGCAATCACATGCTGTAAACATATATATGGCCAGCCTGAGTGCGTTGCATGCCAATACTCAGTATCAAACTACTAAGCAGTCACCTCTGGGATCCTGGGTTCAAATATGGCTTGACGAGTAATGACTGGAATTTGTTCTGCACTAGTGGTGCTGAAAACTCGTGTGCCAAAGGTGAGGATAGGAGGAATGAAACTTGTGACAGGATGAGGTAAGATCTGCACAGCTCAGTAATTGTTTAAGTGTATATACACACGTAATAGTAAATGTGTATATTTATATTGAACTTCCTTCGCACAGTGCATAGCTAACCATCCAAATCGGAGGTGTGGAGGAAGGGAACAAACTAAGCATACAAAAAACGGATCTAAAGAAATTATCTTTCAATCTAGATTTTAAAGTGCACAGCTCCAGTGGCTACCTGGAACTTCCATGTGGCTATAATGCGTGTCGCTTCCTGGGCTCACCATAAGCCAAGGTTGTGAGATCGTCTGACCATGTAGACTGTATATACAGTATGTTTGGGCAGGTTGCCTCACTGTCTCTCTGCATTCAAGAAGGGATGCTAAATCCATGAATTCAACAAAAATTATGAATGGGACCTTCTCATGTTTGTGGTTCCACTAAAATTAAATTATGTTTTGCACCATTTATTTGGTACATAGTGGTCGACTTTCCAGTTTTAAAAAAACATTGGCACACAACATTTTCGATTGACCTGAACTGAATTAGTTTATCAGGATGCTGCCAATGCCAAAATGCCCACCCACATAACAATAAACTTAGCCAACCATTATCGTGAAGTGCTGTTTATCAACCCTGTTGCAGTTGTGTTTGTGAAATTGCAAATTCATTTCTAACCCAAAAAGTTGTCCCAACTTCAAACAGTGTAATATAAAGCATATCACAATCCCATTATAAATTAAAAGCACGTTAATCTGCACGGTTAGAACCTATCCGACAGCAGCCAGCAGGGGACGCATTAATCACAAACGGGAGTTGACCAAAACCAACATCCCCTTGTCAATGGCATGGTAACCCCATCACATCTGAACTGTTCAGATATCTGAATTGCTCATTCCAGATTACTTTTGATTTTTAAGTTTCTAATCGGTATTGATACAGTAAAATCCATTAAATATTACCATATGCAGCTAAAAACATTTACATTTAGATATCAAGATGTTAGTGCCACAAACATAGCTATTTGCAATACATAAAGTATTGCACATTTAAGTTTCCATTAAGAATTATAATTACAATTGTTTCTTGTTATCAATTCACCAGGTATGCAGCAGAGCAGCATGGTCATATAAATACTGAAAATTAAGCCATGAACACTAAAAGTTTACAATTATCTTTAAATACATGTTTGGGACAGTTTTGAAAGCGCCATCTGCTCTTATTAGCCGGCTATATATAAAATGGGAACTCTACCCCGGGCTTGCAAGATATTTAGTGAATGTATGAATCTGAGATCATTGTCATGGTTCCAGATTGTCAGTACAGACACTCCTCTACTTACGAACGAGTTAAATCCAGAGGTTGTAAAAGTTGATTTGTTCGCAAGTCCAACTTTACTCCTGTCGATTCAAAACGTCCACTAAACATGGGGAAATGGCTTTAAAAGTTGTATAACCTCCTGTAGATGTCACTGGTTCTTCATGTTCTGCAGATGTAGATGCCGCCACAACCGCCATCTATT